CTAATAAGAAAAAGAATTCGATTTGTAATTTACATTGAATTATTATTATTATCTTTTTATTTTTTTTTTATTATTATTATTTTCTTTCATCGCATGCTTTCTTTCTTTCTTTCTTTCTTTCTTTCTTTTATTTTCTTTTTACATGTTCATCGTTTACACTCAAGTAGTAGATATGTTGTTACGTTAAAATGATCGATTAAATGCATCGGTCTTTTTTTTTTTTTTTTTTTAATAATAATCCCTCGTATTAGCGAACAAAGTAGAAGGACGACCAACGAGGGTGATGTATGTGTTGGTTTGCAATGATGATTGACACGATATAACATTGAGACAATAAACGATGACGATAATGACAATAAAGATGATTATGATTATGATGATGATGATAATGATAATGATAATGATGTTGATTATGATTACGATGAAAATATTAATCGATATACGTTAGTAATAATATAAAACACAACACGTTGATTTTATTCAACACAATTATCTTGCAATAGGGTTATGTGATAAACGTTTTCGTAGATAATAATAATAATTATTATTATTATTATATTATTAATAATTGCGATAATAATAATAATTGCAATAATAATAATTGCAATAATAATAATAATTGTAATAATAATAATAATAATAATAATAATAATAATATTAATAATAATAATATTAATTCAATATTCATATTTATATATACACGAAATAAGGCACGTTCGATATTTTTAATATTTATATTCGCGTGACGTAGATCGTATCGAAGGAAGACGAGCTTCGTCGCAAACGTTCAAATATTATCATATTCTATATAATTTTTTTTTTTTTTTCATTGTATTTTCTTTCATTTTTCTTTTTTTTCGTTTTTTTTTTTTCATATTAACTTGTTCATCATAACGCGAGATATGCAACATCCTTACCAAATGTAAAAAATGACCTATTTATAATATATATTATATATTTATATATTAGTATATATATATATATATGTATATATTATATATAATATATATATATATATATGTATATATGAATATACTAGTATATTATATATTAATATATAATATATATTATATCTATCTACTATATAAAGTATCTTTCAGAATTATTACATACACGCATCCACATTTACAATTTCGGCCCTTACTTTTTTTGTTTCTTACTTATTTCTCTACTGTTTTTTTTTTTTTTTTTTTTTTTCATAAAAAAGAAATAATACATTTATATATTTATTATTTCCTTTTTCTCTATCATATTTTCAAATGAATTTTAGATAAATCTTCGATTGATTTGTCTCAATCAACGGAGAACAAACAATTCGTACAACATTGCAAGATTTATGCATTTTTGTTTTTGTTTCTTATTCTCTTCTCATAATTACTTTTTTCTTTTTCTTTTTCAGGGAGGAATAATTTCGTTTTGGTATTTTTTTTGCTTTCTACCTGATTAGGCGAATGAAACAAAAACTTATTTCGTCACGACTAACAATAGAGAAATGATTAATTTACTTAGATAATAATTAAGCACTCGCCATAAAAATCGGACGAACACGGGCGATACTCAAACATACACTCAAAACACACACAAACACATACTCATTCAATTTCTATCATTCATTATTTTCTTATACTCGTTTACATTATTATTATACTATTATTCATGTAAATGTATCTGCTTGATCTCTTTCTTTTTATTTTTAAATCATGTTTGTTATTTTTTAAGCACACGCATACCACACACACATACTAATATACATACACAATCGTATATATATATATATATATTTAATATACTCATACATACTCGTATCGCTAAGTATTACGACCGATAATGCTCGAAATCGTAAATACGAAAACTTTCATTCGAAAGTTGATCAATTATAGAAATATTTAAAATATTATTTATCTCTCGTACGAGTGAACATTTGAATAAATAATAATAATTAGAAATATATTTGAAGAGAAGAACGTTTTTGAATAAAATGTATATAAAGTGTTTTATATCTGTTTCTCCTATATTTTATCATTTCTCTCATTTTCATATTTTTTCTTTTTTCCCATTTTTAATGCTCCTTCATTTTGAGATTACTTTTTTTTTTCTTTGAAAAAAAAAAAATCGATATGTCATTTTTTTATTATTATTTTCTCAATTATTGATAAAATATGTGTAACGAGAGATCACAAGGATATGTTAATCAGTGTCCGTGTAATTATACATCCAAACAAGGGTTATTTTGTTTTAGATGATTTGTTTAAATTTTACAAAAAAAAAAAAAAAAATCAAAACAATCAAACACGGACATATTACACGTCTGTAACAATAATTTAATGTTTGCTTTAAAAAAAAAAAAAATAAAAAAGATCATTATCATCATCCATTTTCGAGAATGTATTATTATTATTATTATTATCATCATTATTTGCAGAAAGGGTTCAAAATGGTATTCACGATTTCGTTGGCACGCAAAGTATTTGCGAATCGCATATCGCAAATAGGAATTTCAATAGAATTTATCTCGTTTAAATGGGTAAAGTCGAAGGAAAATGGGGGGGAAAAATGGGGATTTTGGAAGGGAGTTGAAAGGGATGGTGGTAAAAGGGCACGCGTTGTCCATCGTAATATCAAACGTACGACGTGTATAACCCTAAACTTCGAAGAAATCGTTTTTTTCTTTTCTTTTTTTTTTTAAATGTTTGAACGTAGTTTTCTTTTTTTTTTTTTACACGTATGTACGTAATAATTATTATTTAATAATTAAAATTAAATGACAAACAACTTAATCCCGTAGCCCTAGGCATCATCGTACGATGATGATAGAAATATTATTTTACAATAAATGTACAGAAATCGTTCTCGTGTCTCTCTTTACTCATCATTAATTCTTCTTATTCATACATACATACATAATATTATTAATTATCCTTCTAACTATTGCACCACGCAAATAATAATAATATCTTTCTTTTTATATCAATCATTTAATAAAATTAAAATGTAAATAATAATAATAATTATAATAACAGCAAGAAAATAAGTAGAAGAAGGAAGATAACAATAATAATAATAATAATGAGAACCACAAATGAATAATTCACATTACATATGTGTAATAAACGCTCGCACACATGCAGATGATTATTATTATTATTATTATTATTAACGTTGGAAAAGTTTCGTGTGAAAAAATTAAAAAAAAAAAAGAAAAACACACAAACACGCACACACACACTTTTTTCAAAGTTAAAAACCACACACGTTTATTAGCGTGCTTCGTAATTGTGGAATGTTAACGTTATGTTTTCTTTTTTTTTTTTTTCTTTTTTTTTTTGCATTATAATTTGTTTGTTTTATCTATTAAGTTCTTATTTATTTTTCGATAACACGAATGTATCGATTAATTATTAATGATTATTATTCGTCGAAATGATCGAAGTATAATTAACAGGAATGCACACGCAATTTTCGTCACGTTTCTCTCATTCGAGATTGATAGAAAATAACAATGAAGATTTAAACGACATTTCTTTTTTTTTTTTTATGCGTTCGTCTAATTTCTACGACAGTTTTTCGTATACGCTCGGTTGTGTCGTTCAAGGCAAAAACGAAACTCGTTTTTAATTTGTTTTTTTTTTTTTTTATTCTCGAGTAAAGTTTCTCGTCGTAGTCAACGTAGTAGTTATATCGTCGTTCTTGTAAAATATCATACGTGTATTTCAATTTTTTTTTTTTTTTTAAATGTTCATAATCGTCGTAGTTATTTAAAACACACATTCACACATGCATACGTACATAGCACACACATCTTAACACTTTAATTATTCGTTAATCGAGAATCATTGAGAATCTTGATAAGACGAATTACAAAAAAAAAAGAAACACACATTTCTCATTTGAAAATAATTCTCATCCATGATTCGCGAGATACGATGTCTTAAAAATAAAACAAATTAAAAATTAAACGATTAAGAAATGAAAAAAAAAGAAGAAATTGTCGAACGACGAATATTAATAATATTCTATAAATCATTAATAAAAAAATGAAATAAAAGAAAGAAAGAAAGAAAGAAAAAAAAACTGTACCGAACGACAAATGTTTTCTTATTAAAAATCGATAACAAAAAAAGAATCTTGTTCATCGATTAATATTAATTTATAAATTGTTTAATATATATTGTTCGTCACAGCATTTGAAAACGTGCTGGGCTGGTCGCCTTCTTATCTTCCAAAACGTGTCTTGCCGATAGAAAATTTGTGTCCTTGTAGGAATGGTAGAAGTTGTTTTTTTTGTATATCAATTGGAATGTTTGATCGACGTCGAGATGAATATGCTCGATATCACAGCTTCGAGGGATCGTAATTCTCGAAGGACCACCTTTGTCTTGATTCGGACGACGAACATTCTTCCATCAGCAATCGTTGCTTACTTTCGGTGATTGCTAAACATTTGTCGCTACTTCCGTGCCTTATTTGTTTAGTCTGAAAAATTTTATATATTATTAATAAATATATATATATATAAAAATATTTATATATTATAAATATTTATTATATTATAAATATATATATATTACAATATAAAAACATACATACAAATTAAATAGATAATAATTATATATATATATATATATATAATAATTTCATTAAATTTTATTAATATATAATAATATAATAATATATTTAATAAAATATATTATTTATAATATTATTAAAATATATATATTAAAAAATATATCATAGAATTAAAGTTTTTTTTTAAAGTTTAGTAATTTGATTGATTGATCGATATGAGGATTTTTTTTAGGATTTCTTATTTTTTATTTTTTTTTTTTTTTAGTTCAAATAATAAAAATAGAATAAGGTTTATACCTGGGGATTATAAATCCATTGTTGATTTCCTTTGCTACCGTGACAAGGATAAAGGATAACATCCTGGCCACTGTAATCCAGGCAGGATTCGTCTCTACGAATTTCACCAATCTTGCTCAACATCCAATACTGCGAAAAAGGATTTTTATGATTAGTTTGAAAGAATTTATTTTAAAATATAAAGAAGAACATATGAAACAAATGTGTGTTTGTTAAGCGTTTGAGAAAATGATCATTCTGACAGCGTATGAAAAAAGCTTTTCTATTAATCATTTGCACACGTTTTGAATTTAATTAAAATATAACATATATACATATATAACATGTTGAAATTTGATTGTGAATTTTTTTCAAAAATAAATGAACAAATATTTTCTTTAGAAAAAGGAACTTTGTAAATTAGCACGAGAAGACGAGACGAGGCTAGACGAGACGTGGTTTAGTATAGTTAAACTAGGATAGTATGCGGGTTAGTATTCCTTTCTATCTCGTCAATTTTCTTCTTTTCTTCCGTATGAAGTCGGATTACGTTGCACGACGTCAAAGCATTACTAATCAGTAATACCGATCGTCGATAATCGAATCCGATGGTCCTCGAAATTGCATCGATTTACACAAGCCCCTACGTTCTGTTTCCCGTTTGTGCAATTCCAACCGATCAGAATCGAACTTTGGTAAAACGAGAACGAACATACGAATTCCCAGAAATGTCAAAGTTCTTATTCGAAACAAACATTATATATCGTTTAAAGAGTATTTCAATATTTTGCATTTTAACGATTATGCGTTTACTTTCTTTTTTCATTCGATAGAAAAATATATTTCATTATTAATATTAATGTATATTCATTTGAATTGTAATAACGCGATAATACAAATACATTAATCATTAATTTAATTAAAATTAATTTTTATTAATTTATTAATATTATTAAACTATTAAGTTAACAAATTGATATTAACTAATAGTTAATAATATTAACCCTTTAAGTTGCAAGCTCGAGATAATTCGAGCGGCGTTGTATCAGCTTGAACCAAAATTGATCCTTAATGGGTTAATATATTAATAAGTAATATTAATATATTAACCAATAGTTATACTAATAATTAACTAATATTTATTAAACTATTATGTAATCACTGACCATTAATTTTCTTTTAATAATTACAAATTATTTAGGTATAAAAAAACTCTATCATTTTTACGTTCATCTATGATAAAAAAGAGATTCGTTATCGTTCACGAATCACGATGTTTGAAATATTGTTCTTGTTATTTTATTTGAAATAAAACCCGATAGTTTTGTAGGTAAAGTAATTGCGTTTAAAGTTACGTATGAAGGGATTGAAAATGAGAAAATCATATAATTGATCTTTCATATCGCTGTCAGAATCATTTATAAATGTACGTACAATATATATACACATGAAACACATAGATAAGGATAAAGAAGACAATGAGAGAGAAATAAAGAAAAATAAAATTAAAAAAAAAAAAAATACAAGTAACAAATTGAAAAAGAGAGATCAAATGTTACAATAGAAACAATTAGAATTTAGAGTAACTTTAGGATAATGAGAAGCAAGGAATCGTGGCAAGCATGCATTATTATACCGAGATGTTATTAGCCATGCGTCACACTCACTCTCTCTCATTCTCTCTCTCTCTCTCTTTCTCTCTCTTTCACTATGCTTCGTGAATAGAAAGGAAATGTGTCGGCAAATATCATTATGCGTACCCCGACAATATAATTTCGCTAACGAGATTGCACATTTGATCGTTGACTAGTCTCCCCGTGTTTTCATCCTACGGTTATTAATTAATAAACGCGTTTCGTACATGTAAAAATCATTTCTTTTTTTTTTCGGTTGTTACCAAATAAAAAAAAAAATATAAAATAAAATAAAATAAATTCAATCGAACGAACGAAATGGTTTTTTTTTTGTTTCTACGATTTTTCCTGTTTTTTTTTTTTTTTTTCGTTACCACTTCTCAATTTCTTGTTCATTCCCACGTTGGGAAAAGTTCAACAAAAATAAACAATCAAATGGATATTGAATTTATAAACAATTTATTCAATTGTAACGAAACGATATCAACGAATCTCGTAATACTAATTGAAGTAAATTCGTTAAAATATTAAGTACCGTGGTTGGTAAACGAATGTTTGTTACGAAATGAAAGAAAGAACAAAAAAAAAAAAAAAGAAAAATAAAAATAAAAAGTGGAAAAAAATGTTTAAATTCGTATTGCAACATTGTGCGAGTTTGCGATTAATTGTTTCAACGATCGTATAACGAAAGGCCATTTTTCATTAGGATTGTGTTAAGGAGAATTTTTCTCCGTGATAAAAAAAAAAGATTTGAGAATGTTAAGTGGGAGCTAAGGTAAGGGTGGAGAGGGTTTATACGGTTCGTCGTTTAATAACAAATTGGCGGCTTGACGAAAAAGCAGAAATACGCGAACTTTGTTCAACGATAAAGAAAAAGTTGCGGTATTAAAAATAGGGGGAAAAAACCACTCATAAAGAAAAAAAAAAAAAAAAAGAAAAAGAAAATAAAACGAGTAAAAAATGAGATATAAAATTGACGAAAAAAGGGTAGTAACACTCTTGCAATTTAGAAAAATTATGTATGAAACGAATGTAATGTTTTTTGTTTTTTGCTATTTTACGATTATCCTGAAGAAAAAAAAAAAATTTGTCATCCACTCTCGTTTATATACCATAGAACTAAACAATAGGTATGAATGAAAGAAAAACAAAAATAAGAGAGAGAAAAAATGTTCTGGGGAGGGGGTGGTGGTGGTGGTGGTGGTGGTGTATAGCACGGTATACCTTTTACAAAGATTATGAAAAAAAAAAAGCTGATACGTTACTAGACTAACAATAAGAGATGAAGATTCAAGAATTTTTCTTTTTCTTTTTTTTTTTTTTTTTTAACAAAAGCTTTCTCCTGTATCTTTCTATTCTCTATTATTATTTCTTTTTTTCTTAGTTATTTCTATTTGAAAATCATTCAAGAGACGTAAACGTCACCCGTGTTCTCGTCGTTTTCGTTGTCGTATAGAAGCCATTCGAAATTACAACAAGAATTATCCTTAACATCGATCGTTCAAGAAATTATAAACGACGACAGAAAATGGATAGCTATGGGCCAACATAGAGAGAACGTTGTTATAGATCGTCACAACGACAGGAGGTACGACGATTGATGAGCACCCCCAACCCCCCAACCCCCGTACCAGATTACTGACGTTACTAATTACGTTAAACGAGCCAAGATTAACGATGATCTAACTCACGTTTTCTTCTTCTTATTCTTCTTCTTTCTTATTCTTATTATTTTTATTTTTCTCTCTTTTTCTCTTTCTTTTTCATTCATATTCTTTCTATAGATTCTTATCATCCAATTACATACATTACACATATATAATATAATTCAATTCAATTCAGAATAAAAAAAAAAAAATTAATTACACATATATAATATAATTCAATTGAATTCAATAAAAAATAAAAAATAAAAATAAAAAGAATTTTAAATGAAAATTATTTCTTTTTTTTTTTTTTCCAAATCAATTCACTTACTCATAATTTTCAAATCTTTTTTTTTGTTTTTCAAATCATTTCACCTACTCATATTTTTTATTTATTTATTTTTCTTCTTCTTTTTGTTGTTTTTTTATGATGATAAATTGGTTTGATAAAAGCGAATTTTTTTTTTTTTTTTGTATAAACACCTTCCTTCACCTTAATAAAAATAATAATAAATAAAAAAAAGAAATAAATAGCACAATCGATCACACATATCCGAGCTTAAATCCCTCAAAAACACACAAACACACACATATACACACGCACAATACTATAATCCCATAAATTAGTAACATAAGACCACCGCGTGCCCCGTAATACTAATTCGATGTTATTCGTTTTTGTTGTTTTTTTTTTCCCCCCAAGTGGTATCGCGACGTGCCCAGATTCGTATACCTGATTGCCGCCCTGACGGTGACAAGGATATAAACCCACGGGCTGGTGAAGGTCTTCCGGTTTTCCTGGGGAGTCTATACATATGCCGCTAGCGAGTTGTCTTATCTGCGTTTAACAATTATCGATACATATTTTTTGTTTGTACACCGATATTCATAAGATACTTCTATTATTGCAATTTTTGTATATTTTATTATTTATCCTAATTTATATTTCTTACGTCTACGAAAAATCCCTAAAGCTAAATATTTCGATCATTATCCTTGGCTCTCCTCAGCTTCCACACTTTGGACAAGCATAATAAATAAATAAAGAAAGAAGAAAATCAAAATGAAGTGATATAAAATCGTGCATACACAATCAATACAAACGATGCAATGGGGGTTATTATATATAAATATATATATATATACACACACAAACGTTGTTGTTAGAATGTTAGATCAACGTTTTATAACAAACAAACAAACAAAAAAAAAACTACGATTTTAAATTTTTCCAAATTACACTTGACAATTACTCTTTTTTACGATAAACAAAAACAAAAATTGTAGAAAATTATTTTTTTAGTTTACTTTGAATCGTAGTTTCTTTTTAAATATCATAGAGAAATTACGAACAATGTGAAAATAAGAATAGAAAATAGAAAATATTGTGATGAGTTTTGACGAAAGTTTAATTTTCAGGATTTTCTATAGACGAAAATTCGTTCAACCGGTTATTATCCCATTCTCTACCTGATTTCCTCCTTGTCGATGACACGGGTAGAGTCCGGTTGGCTTATGCAAATCGGCCTTTCGTGCCGGAGAATCCAAGCAGGTGTTGCCTCCTTCTCCAAGATTACGTACCTGCCGTCGTTTAATGTTAGTATGATCATATCACAAGGATTAATATCATTATTAAGGTCATTAGTAACGATTAGTTCTATTCGTACAACGCGTATATCTCTGAAATTGAAGAAGAAAATCATAGAACACTGAAGAAAAAGAAAAATGATGGTTGGGGTTGGGATAATGGGGAAAGATAGAAAGCGAGAACGAAACACACAATAAAAAGAAAGAAAAGAAAATGACAGGAAAGTGGGAAGGGGAATTGGAAGAACAATTTTATTCAAGAGTTCCTGAAAATAAAAATTTTAACCACCAAAAAAATTATTATTACAAGCACGAAAAACACAAAGAAATAATAATATAAAAATAATACTAATAATAATAATAATAATTATTATTATTATCTTCCGCTTCGAAAATGGTATCTGAAAGAAAATAAAATATATAAGAGAGCTAAAAAAGGAATATAAAATGTCGCGTGTAAGCAAAAGCTACAACAATTTCAATTAATTGTACTTATTATCTCACGTAAAATGGAATTTATTATTTTAAAAATTAGCCAAAATTACGAAATTTTTTATTCGTACGAATACGAGAGATAGAAATTGAGGAAAATGTTTATACCAGGATGTGCGATAAATATTCGTTTCCTCTTTCTCTCTCTCTCTCTGTCACTGTAGTAAGTCTCTCCTTATAAAAATTACGCTGTCCCAACGAGTTAACAAAGATAGCGTGGGATCGAATGAAAATGCACTCGACATTTTTATCGTCTCTACCTTCTCGCATTTTTTGCATCCGCTCGTACTTTTTATTCCGAAGTACGGGAGAACATTCGAAAGGAAAGGGGGAAAAGAAAACAAGAAGAGAGAAGAAGAGAAGCAACAAAACAAAAAAGAAAAAGAAGAAGAGCTATGTAGTAGTAGTGGTAGTAGTAGTAGTAAGGGTAAAGACAAAGATAGAGAGAAATTGTGGGTGGAGGAGGAGGAAGTGGAGGTGGAGGCCAGGTGAAAGTCAGAGGACTACATGACCGTACGATCGAACTGTCTCATTTTTCAAGCGGAAGCTGCAAGCAAATCGGCAACGAGAAAACGAAGCTTCCCCCAAACTTTATGTCGAAAGAAATTCTAGTGTACGTGAGGGGGGTCAATATATATGTAACATATATATATATATATATATATATATATATATATATACACACACATACTAAAACAAATATGATTGCGCTTGCGCCTACGTACGTTCTTACTTGCTTAAACACATATGTGTATAAGTATATATGAATGTATGTGTGTGTACGTAGGATGCATTCAGTCACGAAGCTCGGTCAGCAGTCCTGATTTCACTGACACGCAAGAATTCTGTGGTCGTTGCAGTTTCAAATGCGAGCATCTTCATCTTTCTCTACTTTTTCTTCGTCTACCTCGGGCAGCAGCACTCTACTACTACCACTACTATCTTCTTCTTCTTCTTTTTTTTTTTCCTATTCTTTTTTCATATCATGCTGCTGCTGCTGCTGCTGCTGCTGCTGCAACTGCTGCTAGTACTCCACCCACCCATCCTTCCCTACTCATACTCTTCTTCTCTTTCTTATTTTTTGTCTTCATTGTGAACGTCATCTTCGTCTACGTCTACGTCTACGTCTACGTCATAGTCCATGGTCGTTGGTTGCAAGCTAAAATAAAAACTAAATGACTTATATCGGTAACTCATCCTAGAACACAGTTTTCCTTTAAAATTGTCGAAGGTACGATGATCAGGGGGTAGATTTTTCACTCTACGATCTGATTCGGTCAAACGAACAAAAAAATAAGAGTTTCAAGTTAACCTCGAGAATCTCTCCTGTAACCAACCTTCTCTTCTATCACAACCTTTTTCTGTAAACCTGCTGGACGTGTCAGGATTTTTCAATGTGTTCCTTGATCCCTCTCTCTTTCTCTCTCTCTCTCTCTCTCTCTCTTTCAATGTCAATAGAAAAATCATATTCTCTTATTTAGCAGATATCGAAAATGTGTTCACAGATGAAAAGAAAACGAATATGATATGACCAATAATCAAAAATGATTTTATGTGTAAAGAAGGAATAGAAATAAAACTAAAACCTAACTAAAAAATAAAACTAATCAATAATCGAACAACACCTAACGATCGAATTATTTCCAAACGTTAACACACACCAAGTACAGAAACCCTAGGAACTTGCGTTATATACACGTCACGCAAAAACAAAAAAAGAAAGAGAGAGAAGATTTGAAATGACTCGAAAATCGCATTTACCTTTCCCTACTCTCTCTCTCTCTTTCTCTCTCTCTCTCTCACCTTTACCTAGCGAATAAAATTCGTCTCGTTTGTCGAGGCTCACGTACGAAACGTAACACGTGCAATGGAAATTATTCACGCTGTGCACGATTTCTGGACAGGCTCGTCGAGCACCGAGAACTATAAATTCTCTCTCTAACCCCTTTCCGACTCACCCTTCCCCGCCTACTCCCCCTCACCACCCGATTTATCCATCCCAGCATGCGACGGTCGTCTCTCCGATGCGCGAGAAGAGGCGTCAACGTGATTTACTGGAAGATCGGCGTATCCCTTTGACCGAAACGGAAGAAGGATGGGAGAGAAAGGATAGGGGAAGGGGAAAGAAAGAAAGTACCAAAAAAAATATATACAAAGGGATTAGAAAGAGTAAAAATGACGAAGGGCTTGGGATGACGTAAAAAAGAAAAAAGAAAAAAAAAAGAGGAGAAAATTTTCCCTCGAAGCAAAGAGAAGGAATTGTGAAGTGGAGGTGGGTTTGGGTTACGGGAGGACAACGATGAGTAAACGGATAAGAGGCAGAGAAGGTGGAATGGGGAGGTGGGGTGGAGGTGGGAGCTTTAGTGGGGCAACCCGAGGTTCGTGACTTTCGAGCATGGAAATTGTTATTTTGCATGTCGAGACATTCCGGAACGTAGGTAGAAGCCGCGTGCAATGCTTTTTCCTGAATATATCTGCTCATTCTTTAATCTCTTCTTCCTTTTTATCGTCTATCCTTTACCAACCCTTCTCTCTGTCCCTAGAATCTCCTCTTACTCGCGATCCACACCCTTGCTTCTACTGCTGCTGCTGCTGCTGCTGCTGTTGCTGTTGTTGGTTGGGTGCTGTCTCTGAGAAAAATATTGGAAAACGCGTTCCTTTTCTATATACCTAACGCTCTTCGAAATACGTCGGATGTTGGATATCAGGAAAAGAGAAAAAAGAGAAAAAAAGACAGAAGTAGAAAGAAAGAAAAAGATAAATGATAGGAACAGGGGATAAAATAACGGTCGATACCATTCGCACAACTCGACACCGGATTCCGTTGGCTTCCATTATCATGTTCGATCGACGGACGTATTGCTTTCAAGACGAGACTCTAGCATTGCTCTTCCCTCTCCCATTGGCCCAATAAGAAACGAGAATAGAAACGGAAATTGCCCAACGAATTTCCGGTCAATAATAGGATATATCGGTGAAAGGAATGTTTCTTCTTTCCTTTCTTTTCTTTTTTTTTTTTTTTGGTTTTCTGTAATTTATTTTTTTATTAATCATTTAATCGATCGACAGATACACAATTTTGATTATGTCAATTGAAACATAAATTTCCGGTCAATAATATGATAATATCAGTAAAAGGAATGTTTCTTCTTGTTTTTTTTTCTTTGCTTTTGATCTTTCTTGTTTTTAGTTTTAATTATTAATTATTTAAGGAGTTAAATCGATCGACAGATACACAACTTTGATTATGTCAATTGAAACAGCCAGGTAGCTAGCTAGCTAAGCTTAATCATGACTATTTCATTTTACCAAACGAGACACGCGTGATACCGTTATCGATCATTTAGCGATTACAAATGCCATAGGAGTGTCTCTCCGTGTTATGGATATAAATCAAGATCCATGAGTGATCGTTAGTAACGAGGGAGGAATTAAAACTGTATTGCCTAGAACCCAATCCCTGCGAGAAATCAAAATCAAATTGGGTTAGATAGTGTTCACATTCGAGAATCGATAATCTCGATTTTGATCTCACGTAACTTGTTATATGTGTGTATGTATTTATTATATACAAGATAGAGAAGTAGTAAAATGATCAACTTTCAAAAAAAAAAAAAAAAGAACGTCGAAGAACGATCATCGTTTTATAGGATATATATATATATATTTTTTTTTTTCTCTTCTGTTTATTTCCTTTCCTTTTTGTTTTTATCTTCGTATAAAAAATGAGTATCAAAAAAAGAAAAAAAGAGGAAATAAACATTTTGATCGTATAAAAACATTGAATTATCTTCCTTCTTCGATTCGTTGATAATCACACGTGATTTTGATACTAGATATATCCCCAATGTATATGTATCTTTAGATATATGTATGTGTAGATAAATGTATTGAGTTGATAAAAGATTAATATAAAAGAAAAAATGTCTTCTTATTCGAGATTTTGAAAAGAAAGAAAAAAAGGGGGAATTCCCGATGACCGATCTCGTACGACGAATCGATTTCCGATCGGAACTTGGAAGGGAGGATGAGAATAGAGAAAGCTCGCGAATTCTAACCAATCGAGATTACCCCCGACAACGGGACTATCCCCCCAACAAGCATTATTGTTGCCCAATCGAAACAGCCATTGTTTCCTGTGTCGCAAGCTCGTCGGCATCAATCATCGCCTATCCCACTAACAATTCAACACACCCACAGGACGTTGTAACGAACCAAGAGTAGTAGGACGAGGATGAGGATGAGAAGGTGGAGGAGTTGGAGGAGTTGGTGGGGGAGGTGGAGTGAAGGAGGATGAGTAGTAGTACTACCTCGCGAGGCGAGTAGTTGATCGGATTGGAGGAGCACGGAACAAAAGGCACGAAGCGTCGTTAGGTATACGAGTACATTTACCTTACCCATTGAAGACATAGCTAATCGATTATATAGTCTGTTTGCTTTGTGATCGATGAAAGCCCAAAGCCGACGCGAAATTTCCATATCAATCAGATCGTTGCATCTCTCAGATCACCAGAAAAAAAGAGACCACCCCTTCCTTACCATCCCTATTTTCACTTAAGATCATTCATTCTTCTTCCCTTTTACTTTCAATAAAATAGAATAGTTACTTTAAATATGATTTTAAAACGCGTTCATTGTACAGCACTAAATCGCGTATGGAATTTCGTATTATTATATGACGTGATATTGAATGATCATTTAATCATAATACTTTAATATTTTGTAATCTCGTTTTGTTTTATGGTTTCTAATGAAATAACTATTATCTTGTATTTTTATTTAATTTTTCAAAGTGACAGTTCTTGAGAGTTGAGTTCGAATATAGGTCACTTTATTATTAACGTTTAATTAAAATATCATCGGAGGTTTGATTATTACCAAATGGATTAGATCGAATCGAATTTCGATGAAAAATATTCAACATATTATTATTATTATTAGTATTATTATTATTACTGCTAAGTACTTATATTTTTTTCATTTTTTTCTTTTTGCTTTCGGAGACGTTCCGATTCTCGACTACTTCACGATTTATATAGGAAGTCTGTGGCTAATTAATCTGATTACGATCCCCAGTTCTACGTTAACGGTAATAAATAACATTTTAATTGCGACCTTTACAACTTCCGACTTTCCTGACTCGGTTTCAGTTTAATAACACGATCGACGGTTGCTTGTTGCGAGCTGGTATCTCATCGTGTCGCAAGAGTTAATACGACACATGCGAATTATCATCTACGATTTCGTAAAATAATTTTCATCGTGATAATGGTGCCCTTGGTGCACAAAGACAGAGAAAAAGAGATGGATAGATAGAAAGAGGAGAAATATAAAGTGTGTGAGAGAGAGAGAGAGAGAGAGAGAGACAGAGAGAAGGAAAAAGAGAACTGTAAATTAATTAACGGGAAACTCAATTAAAACACATCCGGCAATGTGTAGAACTCCCAGTGCTTTCAAATTTTGCCAGGGGCTTGGGACACGCCGCGAAGCCAGTAAACAAACGAGCTATTATCGAAACGATATTGGTTGGTCAAAAAGAGAAAGAGAACGAGAGAGACAAAAGAGAGAGAAGAACGCATAAAGTACAGAGGAAAATGCGTTAAACGATAGTAATTAACGTTTGACGATTTGTTAAACGTTGCCTTCAGAACACTGACTATATACATATACATTTCTATATACTACATACCAACGCAAAAGTTTCTACTTTGAAAAGAGATAAAGATCCGACAAATATTCTAGAAGAGATCAAGAGGAAACGTAATATGCAGTATAGGTGATGACGGTAAAGTAAAAGAGAGAGAGAGAGAGAGAGAGAGAGAGAGAGAAACTGTTGAAAAGTATTCGAAATGCGTCCAACAGGCTAGTGTGGAAGAGGATCCTCTCGAGAATTGTAATTCGACGCTTTGATGGATCAAAGAGACACATAGCCGTTGTTACAGGAAACACCATTCTTCTCTTTTTCTTTCCCACAAGTTTGCTTGGCAGCATTTCTCTACCGTATCAGCATCCTCCATCCTTGTTTCCTTCTTCTTCTTCTTCTTTTTCTTTTCATTTCTGTCTGATCTATCCTGGTCTCGAATTGAAGTGAGCAAATGCTGTTGCTACTCTTTTCTCCCACCTTGTTTTTTTTTTTTTTTTTTTTTTTAACAAACCTAAAGGAAGATAGAAAGAAGGCAAGAAAAAAAAACATTCTATCGTAGATCTTACCTCTCCAGAAGCAACGGCTTCACCGGGAATAAAGAGTTCCGGGTAAATGTTGTCGAGGTACCATTTAAACGACTTGCATCCGAGCTTTTTCCTCAGGGCTTTACGTTCCGATACGTCCCCAAAGTTACCCTGAAAAATCGTAAATCATAAGTTCAGAAAAGTTTATCCATCCAACCAACGGAGGTGGGAAGGGGTTTTGGGAAGGGGGGTTGGGAGAGATGGATGTTTACTCGACTGAAGAAAAGAAGCTAGAAAGAAAAAGATATATATGAGAGATAGAGGAAAACTGACTCTGTATATATGTGTGTGTGTGTGTATGTGTGTATGCGTGTAGGATCATCTTTACGCTTCGACGAACAAAAACTCAAAGCTCTTCAAAAGGGAGATGAAGTGCGGATGATCTTGTCCGGAAATTCAACGATGACTAAGATTTTAATTAAAGTTAGAGCAAAGTCTCGTTTCTTTCTTTTTTTTTCCCCCTTACGTTTTAACAGAATACGCTCTCTCTCTCTCTCTCTCTCTCTCTCTCTTGCTTTTCCTTATTGGATGACGACGACGACGACGACGACGATTTTACCCTCTCATGAAATCGTTCATTCGTTACTTAATTGTTTTTTAACATTTTCTTAGATTTATAATAGAATTAAAATTATAATTGGGAGAAAAGAGTATTTTCTATGGAATTATTTGGCAAAATAATCTTCCATAAAATAATTTCATTTAATAAGCATTAAAATAATATATGAGTAAATATAAATATATATTATATATTAAATAATATATAAAAAATATAGTATATTAAATTATATATAATATTATATAATTTAATAAACATTAAAAAAAAAAAAAAATGTGTAAAAATAATATAACAAAAAAAATTATCATAAAATTCTTATGGTATTTCATTTTCAATTTCAAATTTTTCATACTTTCTTATTTAAACAATTGAACATGACAATCATCATTCTGTTCTACAACAACAATTTCATACTTATTTCAAAAGCAATCTTTTCAATGTAGCAATCATAATTTGACGAGAATGATCGTGACGATGATGATAACAAATTATGATCGAGAAATCCCTGGCTTGTCTTTTTATTTATTTTTTTGTTTTTTGTTTTTGTTATTTCTCGTTTGAAGAATCTATGTGAATGTGAAAATCACAAGAACGTAGTATACACATAGTTTGGTCGTGAAGAAGTTGAAGCTACCGCCTAGTGCAATCCATTTTATTTGATCACTTCGGCCCGTCGATCTCTTCTGGCAGGACCGAAGACAAGGAACGAATGAAGATCGACGATAAACGATAAATCGTTATAGCCGGTAGTAGAAGAAGCCAAGACAGGCGAGTTATCTTTACTCGAGACCTTTCTCGATCGTTTACGGTTTCCTTTTTACGAGAAGTTCCGAGTCATGCTCCTTTCCATCATCGTTCACTTGTGTGTACCTTTATAACGTTACTTTTCACCTATACACTTACACACTATCTTTATTTCTTTCTCTCTTTCTTTTTCTTTTTCTTTTAGTTTCTTACATATTTTTTTTTTTTTAATTTTAATTAATAAAAAAATAAATAGCAAATCTTTCTATATCAAAATTCAGTGTCACAATGTTTGTCCATTAATAACGCTGAAATTACTCAACCGATCTTTATGAAATTTTCTTTTAATTTTTTTTTTTTTGATTTTTTCCAACTTTAAATATAGGATAATTTTTATCGAGATTATTGTTATCTTTTATTCCTAATTTAAAGATTTATTATTTAGTGTTTATCTAAGTTTCTAGGTTTAGTACAAACTCACTAGATAGTATACTGTATTACAATTCAATTATTTCGATATATTAAATAATAAAACAACATTTCCAGAAATTTGTGTATAAAATGTTAATCAATTATTTAACTGTAAAAAAAAAAAAAAAATGACAAATCTGTTCTAGGGGAAAAAAACACATGATAAATCTTGCAAACATTGTCATCCCCGTGAAAACTCGGCATGTCACATTTCACGAAGTTAAGCAACCACACGTTACTTCTCGTAAACGAAAACCAAAAGTGTATGTGAGTGTGTGTGTGAGAGAGAGAGAGAGAGAGAGAGAGAGAACGAGAGAGAGAGATAGAGAGAGAAACTAGAGAAAAGTTAAAAACCGTACGGTAGAAAGGTTATTCAAGCAGCAAAAGAGAAGAAGAAGTGCTCACCTTGTCGTGACCTATCCTTTGGTAGTAGTACTTGGCGTACTCGTCCAACCACACTTCACTCAACCTTATGCTATTCCTCTTGAGCACGTTCACGCCGCTACGCCACTTGTAAGGGGAACGCTTCCTGAAGATATGACCCACGTGCGAACACGGCACGATTTCCAGAGTACCTGAAGGACAGGTACGTATCCCACCCCCCCGGTTCTTGTCGAATTAAGCTTTTCAAACCAATTTTCTATTTCGTTCCATATAACTTTGACGTTAAAAAGAAGAAAAGAAAAGAAAAGAAAAGAAAAGAAAAAGAAAAAAAAAACAAGCTCGAACTCGAGTTGTTTCAACTTTGATTTTATATCACGTACTTACAACCAACTACAACAAGTTACTTTTTCTTTTTCTTTTTCTTTTTTTTCTTCCATCTATTTTCACGATATACAATAAAACGAGTTTGTAAAATGTTCATGTTATAAATATTAAAAGAAACAATCGTATTACCTCCACACATCCAAGTCTTGAAGGACAACTCGAGATTCTCACCGCCCCAGATATCGAATCCGCTATCATATGTACCAAGTTTCTCGAAGAAAGCACGATCTATCGAGAACAAACCACCCGCCATTGTTGGTGACCAAACTGGCTCCGCAGGATTCTTATGTCTTTTCTTCTCCCTTTCCGGTACCGCGTGCCAGTTGAACTGTTTCAAAAAAAAAAAAAAAAGAAACAGAACGTATCGTCGTAAACATGACTTAAACACTTAACTGTTTAGCATAACGACAACGCTTTCACGAGATTATAAAAAAAAAAGAAGAATAAAAGGTAAAATCTTTCAAACAACAACTTTTCTTTTATTATCATAAATAAGAAAAGAACAAAATATGTAAAATGATATTATAAAAATTAAAAAAAAAAAAAAAGAAAAGAATTAAAGAGTAATTCACGTAACACAGTTTTCAACTTAATCGTCGGTTTTCCAATTAAAATTCCTTCGAATATCTGACAAAAGAAATTGAGTGAGAAAAAAGGACTTTAAACCTTCAAGTAAAAAAAAAAAAAAAGGGAAAATGGAAAATCTTCACTTTTGCTTACTCAGGTTTTCTCAGATATATTCTGTAAGATTTGTTACGACAGTTTTCATTAATCTCGCGAAATCGTTACTTAAATTAAAGTCAATTTTGGATTGGTTTACCTGAAGATTCCAATCGAAGCCGCCGACGTTCACACCACCTGAGTCTCTCCAATGGTACTCGAGTGTAGTGTCATCGATAACATCGATCACCGGACAAACTACCGTCGTTGGATCACGCGCTATTCTATCCAAAAGTGGTTCCAACCATCCTACGGTACATTCACAGTGACTGTCCAAATACGTTAGGACCGGTGCTTTGGTAGCTGATGCACCAAGTAAACGAGCCCTTATCAAACCTTCACGTTTTTGGGCACGAATTATTTTCACCTTGGGATAATTCATCATGTAATCTTCCAGTTGTCGTTTCAGATGAGCTGTTGGAAAATATTTGAACAATGTTTTCTATCATTTTTGATTACTTCAGTTTTTTATTTTTTATTTTTTATTATTATTATTATTTTTTTTTTTTAATGATAACGAATCTTAATAAATCTACATATTATTTATATCATATATAAATATTCGTTATATATATATATATATATATATATATATGTGAGTGATTGGATTGAATTTTTATTTGATAATTTAACAATCGTTAATGAAATTATGATTCGTTCATTTATATTTATTGAAATTTATTGTCTACAATTTAGATGTGTGTGTGTGTGTGATATACTCGATATATATTTTCAAATTTATGATTTACGGATTTTAAACTTATGCATAGATTGAGTTATCTAACCTAAAGTAACACATTCCAAACGTGATTGGTATATGTGTTGTCTTTATCGATAGTATGCAAATCTAAACTTCGTAAAACGTCAACGTGTCTTTCTCGATAACAAAATGCTTCCCCAACCAAACTTATACACAGAAATATATATATATATCATACTTAAATCGTATTATTAAAGTTAAAGTTATCATTTTGTTAAATTATTGTTACGAAATAATAATAAAAACAAATGTGTTAGTGCACGTTTTTAGATGAGAATCAATATATCGTTCCTGTTTTTTTCCCCACATTGCAGAAAAAGGAAGAAAAAAAGAAAAGAAAAAAAAAAACAATTCACTTTGCAATAAAACATTGCTCTTAAGAAGTTGCAAAAAAAAAAATAAAAAAAATAGAAGAAAATAAAACGCGTGAAAAAAAGACTATAGAAAAAAGTCGTTTTTCTTAAATAACTCTCTTAAAAGATACTCGTGCATTTCGTGATTGCACGAGAGAAAAAGAAACTCGGTTAAGTGGTAAGGTGTGGGGTGAAATTACGGGGGTGATGGGTGTATTTCACTATGCACGCCATTAACGAACATAATATTTCTCGTTTTACGAAGACGAACCTGTTTATGTTTCATCAACAAGTATTTATATAATATTTATTGATTATTAAACACATTTTTTTTTCTTTTTCTTTTCTAAATAAAAAAAAAAAAAAAACAGAAAAATAATTAATTGAGTAAAACATTTGGTTATGTAAAAAAAAAACAAAAAAACTGGAATGATTCCAAAAGTATTTATAAAATAATACTTAATTATTAAGCACATTTTTCTTTTTTTTTCTAAATAAAAAAAAATAAAAATAGGTGAATTTGATTAAGTAAAAAAGAAACAAACAAACAAATAAAAATAGATGAATTTGATTAGGTAAAAAAAAGAACCAAGAAAAAAAAACAAATAAAAATAGGTGAATTCGATTAGGTAGAAAACAAACAAAAAAAACAAATAAATATAGGTGAATTTAATTAGTTAAAAATAAAACCAAAAAAAAAAAATTGGAATGATACAAAATCGATAAGATTTTCCTTCGATGACTATGACAAAGATAATATACTACATATATATATACAATTTACAATACATAGGACAACGATATTTAGATTTACGAGGATAGAGGGTGGGTTGACCACAGAAGTGAGCTTCAGAAGGGCCGAAGTAATTAGTGGACGTACCTTGATTTATTCTACGTTACAATAGCTTTGCAAGAGTGAGAGAGTGTGAGAGAAAGAGAGACAGAGAGAGAGAGAGAGAGAGAGAGAGAGAAAGAGAGAGAGCCCGGACGGTGATCCTAAATCTACATGGTCTAAGCTCGCTTGACTATGGATATGGTTTATAAAGGGATTCCGTTCGTGGATCGTTGTGACCCGCGCGTTATCTTCCATTCCTGTTTGCTCTATGGAAATGGCCCAAGGAAATCGATAAAATCCTTGGAATGTTCGCGACATGGTTGTTGAACTTACATCAAGCCCGCATACCATTTACATCTTTGAATCAAAAGAGTAAGGGAAAGAAAAGGAAATAAAAAAAAAAAAAAGAAAAAAGAATGGAAGAATGTGAAATCAAAGGACGACAAGGATATAAAACTTACACCCCCTCTAAACCCACCCATTTCCCCATTCTTCCAATTCTCTTCATTTCTCGTTTCCTTTACTTTTCTTTACTTTTCTTTGCTTTTCTTTTCTTTTCTTTTCGTTTTTTCCGACTTGATAAGAAGACTAAATTTGCCCTTTGTACAATTCAGTCTCTTTTTTTTTTTGAATTTTCTATTTTTTTTTTTTTTTTTTTTTAATCATTTATTTCTTTAGTCCTACCAATCAATTGGAATGATGTGAACGGTGACGTCATGAAAAAAAAAGGAAATTTTATTAACACGTATACACTCGTCGTGGAGAAAAAAGGGCTCTCGACGCAAATTGGATTTTGGTGTAAATGTAAAAAAGCATTTTTAACCTCGTACTTTCTTTTCTTCCTTTTTTCACCTCGATAAAATATAAAAGATCGACTAACGACCCCCCCCCCTCCCCACAATAAAGTGCTTTTATTATTTAATCTTTTCTATTATTTATTTTTTTAATTTTGTTTTTCAATTCAATCAGAAAAATAATGATAAAGATGACATGTAAGGGTGGAACGAGTGAACGATAAGACGTTTTTAAATATAAAATATGACCAATAAAGAGTTAAGAGAAAGAGAGAGAGAGAGAGAGAGAGAGAGAGAGAGAGAAAAAAGAACTTTAAGAAGGAAGTAAACTAAAAATAAAAAAAAAGAAGAAGAAAAAAAATCTTAAAAAAGAGGAAGTTTTTCCGAGTTTGAGTCGCGTGTTTGAAACGAAGCTGCCAGTTGGGCTTTCGTGACATGCAACCAACCGGACGAATAAGGGTTGCGCGGAAATCGTAGAAAATAAAGTGAGAGAGAGAGAGAGAGAGAGAGAGAGGGGAGAAGGAGGGGGTGAGGAGGGAGTGAAGGAGAAAGAGAGAAAGAGAGAAGGGAACGAAGGAACTTTATTATCTCGTTTCTATGATAAAATTATCAAGCAGTCTCTATCGGTAATCATGGTTCCCGTAGACCAACATTGCTTCTTGCTACCCAACAACAAAAGTCCTCGCTAGTATGTTTATGAAGCCCACTTCCGGTCACTAACATAAAACGGGGCTTATCTCGGTGCCTTTAAACGGAATTGCCATGGCCAAACTTCTTTTTTTTTTTTTTAAGCAAAACAGCAGCAGTCGTTTGATTTTTTTCTTCTCTTTTTTTTTTTCTCTTCAATCCTTTTGCTTTGATTTTTATTTATCTATCAAAATGATGTATTGAAAATTTTTTAAATATATATATATTTTTATATACATAAATCTCTATAAAATTATATATATATATATATATAAAATAAAAATAATATTTATAAATAAAATAATATTTATATTAAATATATATATTTATATATTGAT